TGCGGACCAGCACCCTTCCATTTGCCGGGTCACTGAAACCGGCATCTACAACTGACATACCACATAGTTGCACAATTAACTTCTCGAACTTCGAGGGTCAGTATGTTGCAAGGTTAGCTACTGTGATTTCTTACGATCTTGCCACGACACGAGAAGTGCAAAAACGCATAATCGCACCGGCCAGCCTGGTGCGTTCCAGCCTGGGTTTACATGACATAACATGACATACGATTGACCAAATGGTAAACAGTTACCCCGAAGTAACTTCACTAGATTCAAAAAATAGAGTATTTCTTGAAAGATCAAATCCTGATCTCAGATACAAGTGTCGCATAAAAGCGAGCTGAGACCGGAAGAGAAAAACCCGTTATAAACAAAAAATTTAAAAAAGAAAAATTAATTACAAAAAAACTACAGCGGTGGGACTACAGCGTTAGCCTTTTATTGTTTTACGTAATTATGTATATATGACTAGGTTTCTTCCACCTACACACAAAAACACACACACATACAGGGCACCCCACTAACCCAGAATATTGACCTCGAGGCTCGTGATAGTCTTTATTACAACCTTTTCTTAAGTTCCATCTTTATATGCGTTTACTGTATTTTAAATACTCTGTGTCGCTGCAAGCAGCGAATTGTTGCTGTTGTGTCGTTCGGGGCCAATGCAAGCCATCGCTGACCTTGTGTTGACCCTTGCTGGTCTCCCCAACCGCCGAAGGCCAACGTTGTCATATTAATGCTTGTTAGTAGGATTTCATTGGCCGAGTGGGGAGGGGGAGACCATGGGCGGGGTTCTTTCCAAAAGGGAAGAAGCACGCAATCGTCTTCTTAGGCATTCAAAAACATTGTGTGAAAGCTGAGCGGTCGGCTCATCTTGTTATCGTCGAGTAAACGATTCAAGTGTTGTCTTTCGTCCCTTCGTCTAATACACCACTTGTCATCTGCACATATCGTAACTGGGTGCAGGGTGCCGCTACGCTCTGTATTTTAAATATTATTAAAAACACAACCGCCGGGTTGATGAGATTAAGCTGAATAGGATTTTATTCTACTTATACCGAAAAATCCCTGCTCCGTTGATTAATTTTATTTATTGTCATTACAGATTTCATTAGTACAGTTCGTGTGGGTCGATCAAAAACGTCGCAAATGTCGTGAGTACTCTGGATTTAGGTTGCAGGCGCTAGCTTTGGCTTTTTTATGCGTTTTTTGCAGCTATGCGATGCGAAAAATTCATAATGACGAGAGGGTGTCTGTGTGCGTGTTTGTACTTGTGTGTGTCTGTGTGTGCGCAGGGCCTCTGTACCGATTTTTCATCTCGAGACCTACAAAAGCTACAGGGCTGAAACTTTCGGGACTTAATCTACATGCACGTACGAGCCCCATCCCCAAAATACCCACGTAAGAGCCTGCCAAAGTTTTTTACGGGTGAGCTGCTAACTCGCGAACCAGAAAAGCTAGAGAGCTGAAATTTTATGGG